CCACCACTTGTCTACTATATACAGACTGTGAAGTGTTCCACCACTTGTCTACTATATATAGACTGTGAAGTGTTCTTCTACTTGTCTACTATATACTGACTGTGAAGTGTTCTTCTACTTGTCTACTATATACAGACTGTGAAGTGTTCTTCTACTTGTCTACTATATACAGACTGTGAAGTGTTCTTCTACTTGTCTACTATATACTGACTGTGAAGTGTTCTTCTACTTGTCTACTATATACTGACTGTGAAGTGTTCTTCTACTTGTCTACTATATACAGACTGTGAAGTGTTCTTCTACTTGTCTACTATATACTGACTGTGAAGAGTCCCACCACTAGTCTACTATATACAGACTGTGAAGAGTCCCACCACTAGTCTACTATATACAGACTGTGAAGTGTTCTTCTACTTGTCTACTATATACAGACTGTGAAGTGTTCTTCTACTTGTCTACTATATACAGACTGTGAAGAGTCCCACCACTAGTCTACTATATACAGACTGTGAAGTGTTCTTCTACTTGTCTACTATATACTGACTGTGAAGAGTCCCACCACTAGTCTACTATATACAGACTGTGAAGAGTCCCACCACTTGTCTACTATATACAGACTGTGAAGTGTTCTTCTACTTGTCTACTATATACTGACTGTGAAGTGTTCTTCTACTTGTCTACTATATACAGACTGTGAAGTGTTCTTCTACTTGTCTACTATATACAGACTGTGAAGTGTTCTTCTACTTGTCTACTATATACTGACTGTGAAGTGTCCCACCACTTGTCTACTATATACAGACTGTGAAGTGTCCCAACACTTGTCTACTATATACAGACTGTGAATTGTTCTTCTACTTGTCTACTATATACTGACTGTGAAGTGTTCCACCACTTGTCTACTATATACAGACTGTGAAGTGTTCTTCTACTTGTCTACTATATACAGACTGTGAAGTGTCCCACCACTAGTCTACTATATACAGACTGTGAAGAGTCCCACCACTTGTCTACTATATACAGACTGTGAATTGTCCCACCACTTAGACTGTTGAATGTCCACCACTTGTCTACTATATACAGACTGTGAAGAGTCCCCCCACTTGTCTACTATATACAGACTGTAGAGTCCCACCACTTGTCTACTATTTACAGACTGTGAAGAGTCCCACCACTTGTCTACTGTTAACAGACTGTAGAGAGACCAAAGCTTGTTTACTATTAACAGGTTATAGAGAGACCTACACTTGTCTATTATATACTGGCTTTAAATAGACCAACACTTGTCTACTGTTTACAGGCTCTAAAGAGACATCACTTGTCTACTGTTTACAGGCTCTAGAGAGACATCACTTGTCTACTGTTTACAGGCTCTAGAGAGACATCACTTGTCTACTGTTTACAGGCTCTAGAGAGACATCACTTGTCTACTGTTTACAGGCTCTAGAGAGACATCACTTGTCTACTGTTTACAGGCTCTAGAGAGACATCACTTGTCTACTGTGTACAGGCTGTAGAGAGACATCACTTGTCTACTGTTTACAGGCTCTAGAGAGACATCACTTGTCTACTGTTTACAGGCTCTAGAGAGACATCACATGTCTACTGTTTACAGGCTGTAGAGAGACATCACTTGTCTACTGTTTACAGGCTGTAGAGAGACATCACTTGTCTACTGTTTACAGGCTCTAGAGAGACATCACTTGTCTACTGTTTACAGGCTCTAGAGAGACATCACTTGTCTACTGTTTACAGGCTCTAGAGAGACATCACTTGTCTACTGTTTACAGGCTGTAGAGACATCACTTGTCTACTGTTTACAGGCTGTAGAGAGACATCACTTGTCTACTGTTTACAGGCTGTAGAGAGACATCACTTGTCTACTGTTTACAGGCTGTAGAGAGACATCACTTGTCTACTGTTTACAGGCTGTAGAGAGACATCACTTGTCTACTGTTTACAGGCTGTAGAGAGACATCACTTGTCTACTGTTTACAGGCTCTAGAGAGACATCACTTGTCTACTGTTTACAGGCTCTAAAGAGACATCACTTGTCTACTGTTTACAGGCTCTAAAGAGACATCACTTGTCTACTGTTTACAGGCTCTAGAGAGACATCACTTGTCTACTGTTTACAGGCTCTAGAGAGACATCACTTGTCTACTGTTTACAGGCTCTAAAGAGACATCACTTGTCTACTGTTTACAGGCTGTAGAGAGACATCACTTGTCTACTGTTTACAGGCTGTAGAGAGACATCACTTGTCTACTGTTTACAGGCTGTAGAGAGACATCACTTGTCTACTGTTTACAGGCTGTAGAGAGACATCACTTGTCTACTGTTTACAGGCTGTAGAGAGACATCACTTGTCTAATGTTGACAGGCTGTAGAGACAACAAACTTGTCTATTGTATAAACTGGCTGTAGCAGACCAACTCTTGTCTTCTGTTAACAGGCTGTAAACGGGAAAACTCTTGTATGCTGTTTATATTCTGTAAATAGACCAACACTTGTCTTCTGTATACACTCTGTAGAGTCACATGACCTCTCTACTGTATATAGTCTGTAGAGTCACATGACTTGTCTACTGTATACAGTCTGTAGAGTCTCGCGACTTCTCTACTCTATACAGTCTGTAGAGTCACATGACATGTCTACTGTTGACAGTCTGTAGAGTCACATGACCTCTCTACTGTGTACAGTCTGTAGAGTCCCACCACTTATCTACTGTATACAGTCTGTAGAGTCACATGACCTGTCTACTGTATACAGTCTGTAGAGTCACATGACTTGTCCACTGTATACAGTCATTGGAGTCACATGACATGTCTGCTGTATACAGTCTGTCGAGTCACATGACATGTCTACTGTTTACAGTCTGTAGAATCACATGACATGTCTACTGTATATATCTTTAGAATCACATGACATGTCTACTGTATACAGTCTGTAGAGTCACATGACATGTTAACTGTTTACAGTCTGTAGAGTCACATGACCTCTCTACTGTGTACAGTCTGTAGAGTCCCACCACTTATCTACTGTATACAGTCTGTAGAGTCACATGACCTGTCTACTGTATACAGTCTGTAGAGTCACATGACTTGTCCACTGTATACAGTCATTGGAGTCACATGACATGTCTGCTGTATACAGTCTGTCGAGTCACATGACATGTCTACTGTTTACAGTCTGTAGAATCACATGACTTGTCTACTTTATACAGTCTGTAGAGTCACATGACTTGTCTTCTTTATACAGTCTGTAGAGTCACATGACTTGTCTACTTTATACAGTTTGTAGAGTCACATGACTTGTCTACTGTATACAGTCTGTAGAGTCACATGACTTGTTTACTTTATACAGTCTGTAGAGTCACATGACTTGTCGACAAACGAACCAAATATAAATCATCAGTTTTATTTCTCAGATAACAAACATTTATAAAAATAAAACTGATCAGATTTAATACATACTTTATTAGAAAGGGCGACTTTTAGAAAGTTATTGTAAAACAAGTCACATTAAGCTTCCATTACAACAATGATGCATTGAAAATAACTGTACATATATGTTGTAGATTCAATATGATGACATTTCCATCATAGGTTGTCGACAACAAAGGCCACCATAAACATATTTTATACATGTAAAATAAACTGTAGCAAAATTGTTACTCAAGGTCATTGCCGTTTGTGTCTACTTAAAATAACAACTACCAATAAAACAGAACACGAAAACAACAAACAGTAATACAAATCCTTGTATGTTTTGCACCATAAGCTTAACAAGATAGAACAATAGACATTAGACAATCTAAATGATCGTGGCCATATGTTGTCTACTGCCTAACGCAGAATGTATACCATGCTGCATACATAGGTAAAAAACTATGATACAATGGTAATGCACTACCCTAAATTATGTACAATATAATTGCCTATCTATTGCTCAAATGTAATAGGTAAAACCGTCGCTCAGTTGTAATTGCCTAACTCTCGCTCAAGATTAATAGCTCAACCAGTGTACAGGAAAAGTAAACATATTGATACAGAAAAGCAATTGCCGCAAAGTAAAATAAATTTCGTAATTTCCATGTACATGTATCCGATAATTTAAGAAGAACGTCAAAAATATTTGTAGCATTAATAAAAATATACCGACGAAATTGTTAATGCATGAATTCCACTATTAATGTGAATATAGACGGAGGGCAGGAAGTACAATAATATGTGTTGGAGTCGTACCAACGAAACTCAATGATTCAAATCGAACACATCATTAATATTATTGCTGTAAGGATAAAAAGATAATTCAAATTATGATAGACATACTGAACATACAAAAGGTGATTGTCGACATCTTGTGAGGAAACTATTCAAGATGTCGCCCATCGATTGATTCGTTGTAAGAGACAGAGAAACTTCCTTCTATTTAGGGAGGCAAATGTACAAATAAAAAATAAATTTGTTTCATTCATTAATAACTGCATATGTTCATATGATTAATACTTCAATGGTACTGCAAACCGCTTGGCGTTGAGAATCATCACTTTGTCAGCACAAGTGAGTGACAGAGTCATGTTCTCTTGTCCATGTTTTATAATTCCATACAGTGACCCGAAGAAGTTTCTCTCGCATAGGGCTTCTCGAACCCAAGATTTTAAGATGCTTTATACTTATATTCGGACATAGAAGTAAGGCATAGGTGTGAAGACCCGCTTTCAATCACGCGCGAGACCGTCTTCTGTAATAGGACCAAGTTTATGTACATTATATAGTAGAAGTGATGACCCAAAATTACAAACAATTAAGAATAGATATATTGTGTAGCTTCATGTAAGATCAATAACGTTTGCAAGGATAACCTATAAACGGTTCTATATAGTACATTGGCAATTTGACTACAGGAAAGAAAGTAGACGATAGAGGTTGTGCTGATCATTGGTCAGTTTGACTTACAACATTCATACAATAACAGTTGTGAAAGATCATATTAATCTACATAATATCTTTGAAAGATTTACAAAAACAAACTTTTTTAGCGGGATACGCGGTTATACAATCAGCCTGCCCGATGTACATGTTTAGTCTACTAATTCCGTCGTAATCGCGAATGTAGTATTTCCCGTTTCGGTACAGTATGGTAGTTTCCAGAAGGGCACCGCCGGGGGATGTCTCTATCTTCATTACATAGTCCCGTTTGACGATAGCATTTGATGTGGCAGTTTTATTTTGTCCAGTAATGTCCCATTCCGCTACATAATGAATAGTCTTCAGTTCTAGTTGACGGCAAAATTCCTCGTATTTCAATAGCATTTTGTTAACATATTTCAACATAAGCTGTCCTAAATCTTTTGCAATTGGTGAAGCAACGTCAATGTCTTTGAACAAACTACATGTACACCAATGGCTTGATATCCCGGCCCTTCGACAGTCTCTGTCGGGTGGTATTTCGCTGAACAGACTTATGCCGTGAGTACCGTTTATAGTCCTATTCTGTGTCTGGTGAAGTATATCTAACAATGTTTCATGAACGTCATACGGTGTCGTTAATTTCCTCGCATTCTCGTTCAGATTAGAAACAGCCTCAATAGCGTCGATACTGAAATTCGTCGGAAGAACCATGAATACTGCAGGTAATCTCTCCTCCAGTCGCCCCACCGGAGACTTCCGAAGATGTCCGAACCTTGATCCGTGATCGCTGAACACAATGAGCACTGTATTATTGGCATGTCCATCCTTGATGAAATTTTCCAAGAAATTTGTCAAAACGTCGTCATATTCTTTCACAATATTATCTGAGTTATGGTAGACCCTGCTGAGATAAACAAACCCGAATGTCTTTGTATCGTTATACACATTGAGAAAATCGGACACATAATTCAAAATAATGTTGGTCTCCAGTCTGTCACCGAAACAATGTTTCTTTGACCATAACTTAGGATGGGCCTCAGTCGCTGCCCCCATCGGTTCGTAGAAGTGGTCGACGGGACTTTTCCTGAATCCCTTTTTAAGATAGTTGAAAAGACCTATATCAGTCATGTCCTCGGAGAACAACGTGGTATACCCATGTTTGGAATATTTGTTCCAAATAAACTCATAATCGTCGAAGGGGATGGTCTGGTTCCAACCCCGACGTCGGAGTTCCTTCACAGAAATGCCGAGAGTAATCGGAATAAGGTTCGGAAATGTGTTGTCGCCGACTTTGCTGTATCCAAATAACTCCACAGCCTTGAGTTTATCAATAAGTGTTTCGCGGGTCTTTGGCAGATTCCGGTAAAAACTATTCCGGGACAACGAATCTATTCCAAGCATAAGGACATTGTATGCTGGGTTTTCTTCTTCTTCCGTGGATCGCCTCGTACGTTTGCTGTCGGCACGAGGTACGGCAAATGCGTGAAAATTTGTATATAATGATTTGTTTTGTTTTGTAAAGCATTCTACTTTAATGAAATCTGTATTGATAGATGATTCCTTGTTAAAAGTAACACTTTTATCTGTATGGAAAGAAAAGTGTCTCTTTGAAGCATTTTTCGGTCGGACTATTGGTGTGTACTTGCAATAGCTTAAATTCCTGTAGAATGGCAAAGCGACCGAGTTCAAGGTGAGTTTATTCAGTGTTTGTAATGTTAAAGACGGAACTGTACCACTGCATTTGATATTTGCTGATTTTACTAGAAAAGGAATGACGGATGGGTCAAACGGATGAATAAAGGGGATTTTACACCCTTCTGTGTCGATAATAAACTTTGGAGAAATAAGTTGATTGTCTGCAAGACTGCGCTTGAATCCTCCACTGTACAGGGCAATACAGGCTAGGAAGGATGAAGTGGAGACCAGTACTACAACTGCAATGGAGATTCGAAGCAAGAACCGGAAGTGACAAGAGAGGAAGTTCGAGGGTCCTGTAACAAAGAGAAAACAAATTTATGTCTATATTCAACAAAATGGTGAAAAATTGTCAAATATTCTGATTTCTGATAGCTCATCCCAAATTCTAATCTATCATGGAGCGTTTTGCCGGCAATATATTTAACCATCATACTGATATATTCTATTACATGATAAAAGGATGAAAAAGTAGTTCGATAGGTGTAATCCATTAATTGTTGGAATTATAATTTTGTTGAAAATGATTGTGACACGCCTACACAGGCATTAGCTGTCATTGGCTTTATGTCACAATCACGAGTATAATTCATTGTTATGTTTTACTTTAAGTCTAACCAACAGTTGTTTTGACATACCTTAATCAAAACTTTGTTTCATTCAAATTTCATCAACACAAAGTAATATCAATGAAGCAATATGCGAAATAGCAAATGAAAAAAAATCAAGTATCATGACACTTACGAAAATTTGTCACCTAATACATTTTCAGCAGAGCAAACAAAAACGGAAAAAGAGAAGGGTTAAAGAATTAATATTTATTGGAAACCAACAATGATGAACACAACATGCTCGCCAATTCGCTATATTGCTATGAATATCTGAAACACAAATCGGTGTAATATATTGTAAGCTTACTATTTTTGTGCATCCGAGTTTAGCGGGTAACTGAATTTAAACAACCCGCTGAAACAAGGTTACCGTCAGGATATGAACGTTTGCAGTAACTATGAATGCCGATGGAATGGGAATACTGAAAATAAACACTTGTTTAATCAGAATTACACTGATCATTTCAATTATCTGTAATAATCGTGGTCAGTTAGTGACGTAATATGGTATGGAATTCGTTCCATGGCAAAATAAGACGAAAGAACATACAAATAAATAAAAACAATAAACATACTAATACAAGTTGTGCAACACAACACAAATGCAAAATAAAACCGTTATTTTGAAATCTCTTTGTTTTGAGTATGTTTGGGACGGCTCTAAGCTTGTATGTTTGGTAGCTACTGTTACAATTATAACAGCTTCGAAATTGAAATTCTCAAGTTTGGAAATATATTTTTAGGGAATGCTATTCCAGACGATATCTGCATATTCTACTGATGATCTCACAAACGAAAAGTATAGGTTTTGTAATGTTTGTTTGTCGAGTTTAAAATTTAGAGTTCGCATAAATAGTTAATCTAGACATTGTTTTCTAAATAATTTGTTTGACATGTGAAACAAAACTACAATTGTTCGAAAAAAAACTCCCATGTGTTTATGCAATAGGACCGCTGACATTTCTTCATTGCACATATGTAAGATCGGATGTGTGGACTGTTCCTTTTTCGCTAAAAGTCATTATTTCCTGGGTTTTTAGGATTAAAATCGACTAACCAAGTCTTGGACCATTTAGTGATTTCGTGTAGGCCTGACCCCGTATTTTTATTTCTTTATAAGGAGTTATCAACTATCATGATCAAAGTAATGTCATCAGCAAATAATTTAATAAAGATTTGATATCGTTGACAATGTCATTAATATAGATTAAGAACAATAAATGTCCAAGTATTGAACCCTGAGGAATTCCGGCCGTAATTTCAGCCCAATTAGAATAAATAATGTCGATAATAAATCCTTGTTTTCTTTTCGAGCCATTTAAGCGGCGATCCAGATGTTCCAATTTTCGATAATTTATACAATATTCCATTATGCCAAACCCTATCAAATACTTTGCTGGTGTCACAAAATATTACTCATTTCATTGCCAGAATCTAATGCCTTAAAGAACTTTCTGAACCAATTAGTAATTGGTTAACAGATGAATCACCTGGTGTGAAACCCGATTTATTTTTTGTTATTATTTCTAAATCTGAACACACCTCTTAAACACCTATTATACTTAGAAGTGAAATTACAACATACTTAGTAGTGAAATTGGTCGATAGTTTTAAATGTCATTTCGGCTTATATATATACATATATATATATATATAGGCAAAAAGACTGCATTCTTTCCACGAAGATGGAAATGTTCCTTGTAATGAGGAATTGTTGAAAAGTATAGATAACAGCTCAGCTAGTGATGTTGCGGTTTCCTTAGCGCTTACGATCAGGTCCTTCAGCTTTACCAGTTTGCAAATTGAGCAGGGCATCCCTAACATCAGTATATAATATGCAGTATATATATTACTCAGGTATACATATAAGAGGTTTCAATCAGAGAAGGGAGCACTGGCGATGTCTCGTCCACAGTGTATTGACTTGGAAAATATGAGGTAAAAACATTTGCGTTCTCCATATCAGTTTCGTAATATACATTATCATAAAAAATTCGTGAATATTTCTCCATATTTGCCACAGTTATCTATGAAGAGTTTCGCAGTTGAACATCATATATTGTAACATTGTCTGAAATCACATAGTTTTGACGACAAATCGTTAAAATAAGATTATTTTATATCGTATAATAGCTAGCATTAACACATTTGTGCGGGATTGTCTGATAATACACCAGTCTGATTAGCTGTCAGTACGCTTCTTTTATGTCTTAAAATTGGTTTTTAGATAAAATGAATTATCGGTGGATAATCATGTTTCCTTATAATGACCGTTTTGCTGAGAATCGCTGGAGAAGAATCAAAGTCGATGAAGTCAGTTAGACGCTTGCACGCTACGTGAATATCAATATTAACATCATTTGATAGAGACGAATCAAACATGTCCAATAATTTTCCTTTGGAACGAGTCGGTTGAATATTTTGCAGTGAACGTTGCATATATAGGACGATAATATCTTAGTGGTTGGTTGAAAAATGATTCCCTTACATAAGACCGATATATTATAAAATCGTTATTTACCAATACAATGTATATATTAAAGGAGGACGAATATTCAGTATAATGTAAGCATTCAGTAATTAACTGTTTTAGTTCATAAGTGTACATAATAATGATTAAGTAATTAGAATTATGACTGTCTTGGAGTAAATTTACGTTACAATCGCTAGTGATTATCACATTTCAAATGCCCGAGTTAATTGTCCTACTGATGGTTTCATTAAATTTGGCCCATAAATCTAAGTTAGACTTTTTTGGGTCTATAGAAAGTACCTAATAGAAATGTCTGACCTTAGGATGCTATTTCAACCCAGACACTTTCCACGAAGTCAACTTCAATACCGGACCTTCTTTTGAAAAAAACAGTAGTGAGCTACAAACACATCTACCTCCACACCTTCGTATTGTGACGACAGTGACAAAAACGGCTGTGAAAACCATAAAAATCCATTAAAAAAAACCGGTAGTGAGCTACAAACACATCTACCTCCACACCTTCGTATTGTGACGACAGTGACAAAAACGGCTGTGAAAACCATAAAAATCCATTAAAAAAAACCGGTAGTGAGCTACAAACACATCTACCTCCTCCACACCTTCGCATTGTTACGACAGTGACAAAAAGGGCTGTGAAAACCATAAAAATCCAAAGACGAATTAATATCAGAAAATCAAAATTCTGCAAATGCTAAAATATTGTGTTCATATAGTCTGATGTATAGAACATTAGTTTTGAACGCTAACTTTGTGTGTGCAAGTGAACGAGTGATAAATATTTATAGATATTCGTAAATGATAACGAGTCGTTATAGGAGATTGACTTGGAGTTAGCAACGGGATGAAAGTGTCAATATTTTCAAACCATGATAAAAAGTAAAGACTATGAGTATGGCAGCACACAAAATAGATTGAGCAATGATCGCTGTGAAATATGCTTTGAGTAATAACGTTCGAGTCTGACATGAAGTGAAATGTTCGTTGCAAGCTTTATATAACCTAACAAACAGTACTAGCTTAGTAGGAATCACTTCCAACACAGTTTTGTCAAAAAGTAAACCTTGACAGGTTTTTGCATCTTATTTTTACAAAATTTACGACTTTTGTTTTTTGTAAGTTGCCCTCAAGCTTCCATAATTTACAGTACTCTTCAAAATATTTAAAGCAGACTGTAGACCATTGCTGGTCCCTGACATAGTTCAAGTTAAATGTCGATGTTAGTGTCGCACAAATGATCAATTTCACCAAGGCACTCTTCTTCGTTCCGTCACAGATGTAAACGCGCGTGTCGACAGGTAAACGAAGGGTGCGCGTCAACAGACCGTGACGGATGACACATAACACAAATAAACAAAGTTCAGGAATGGCAAATGAATTATTTCAAGTTCATTAAAGTATTCAGTATCGCGGTAGATGTTACCTTGCATACTTTCTATGGCAATAGTTGAGGCGCAGATGTGTTCCAATAAGAGTTAACAGTGTCACATTATCGGTGCTTTGTTAGATACGGTTACAAGTTTCCAAGAGAAGATTACGACATCGCCAATCGATTATTTTTTTTTTCACGAGTGCAGGCAATGGAAAACTCTATGTTATATTTTAAAAGGGATACATTTACATAAATATTGCCAAATCGCTTGATAACAAGCGGATTAGCTGATAAACAAATAATCACGTTGTTATTAATGTTATCATGATATTTTGTAGCGACCTGCTACTGAAACAAACCAGTCTCATAAAAAAATAGTCCATTCAAACTGATCAGTGTAACAAACTGCAACAAACAAATTGCAATATGACCAATTCATTCCACTGTTTGATCACGGCATTGTTAAGTTAATTTTCTTTCGTTTTTGCTTTTGACAACAGGGTTCTGTCAAACTAAACATTTCGAATGTGTTTCTTTTTTGAGTCGTTCGAATTTTCATTTCTAGTTTAAAAATAGGGTAATTAATGAAACAGTCCATACGGATTTTTTTCTTAACGAGATCTCTTCAATAAATAGTGGATTTCTTAACACCAAAGTTAGCTATATATGTTATATCTGAGGGTCAATCCGATTAACTGAGTTAAAAGGTTTTTTTTTCTTTAACTCACTTTACTAAACTGTTATTCAAACGAAAGAAATCAGGAGAAAATGTGACTTATGAATCATAATAGGCAAAAAAAATGCTGTAAATGCGATAAGTACGAAACAGAAGTGAAAAAAAACTAGTTATTTCATTTCCTCAACGATGCAGAGCTGTTCTTGTAAGAACGACCCAACAGTTTCAAAACATGACGAATTTCAAATCTTACATAAAAAAAAAGTTCAGTCTAATTAAGGGTGTATATAGGTTCCTATACATGTATGTTCCGGCAGGGACGTATATATCACGTCCCTGGTTCCGGCCTAAATTTGTGACACAATTACATACTCTCGTATTAGTCTACAGACCTATATACATGTTTGTCTTCGTGATCATAATTTACTCAGTCTATCGTGACTCCTAGGTTTATTTTATTATTTATTTCACTTTCATCGATTGCGTGGGGGTAATATTGCTGTCTTACTTAGTATTATTTTGGAAAATGAATCTGCAGTGACCAGTTTCTTTTCAGTCGCATCTGGCTTTGATTGGAGATGAAATAGCATAATATTCTTGGGTTCTACTTATAATTAATTATCGGATCAAATTATCTTTATGTGGAGTTTTAAGTGCACTAAAATAGAATATTACAACATCAAAATATCCTGATGAGAAATCTTATTATTTGTGACATATAAGAGGATAAGGTCACACGCATTGGCTTTTTCAGCCTCTGCAGCCTGTCACAAGGGTCGACAGAGTTACGTCCCTTGGCTGATGAGCGCAGGAAGTCACCTCACTTGAACCCGTCCACATGCAACTCGATACACAAGTGATGAGTAAGCGGAGAGGATGGGTGAAGAAAGTCGCTGCAGCACACAAACAAAATAGCAGTGATTTGCTGAAACACAAGGGAGCTTTATACCATCTCTGAAGCCATATTGGATTTTAGGAGGTAAAATAACTTTCATATTTACATGCCATTGTTGAAAAATAACTTTTCGATAGCTGTATGTTATTGCATGCACATGCGCTTGTCCGCAGATATTTGTTTTGTAAGAGGTTAACTTATTTTCACTACAGAAGTTCAGTGACAATGACCGCTGGCTTGAACGTTACACACGCGTGTGTGACAGTGTCTCCCATTATATATGGGGCTTACTGCTGGAGCTGACAAGCCAGGCTACCACAGGAGCTGGTTTTATAATCTTATAAGATTATAAGAATTGAAGTCATGCCTTCTGGGTATAAAACTTTCGTACATAGTTGCTTAACTTAGTATTTATCCATTGATACAGCTGATGTCCTATATAAGGTGTATTACAATTTACAGGGACGTATAATACTGTATTATACGTCCCTGCAATTTTCAACATTGATTTTTATGCTTGAGTTAATTTGCCTTGAGGCAGCAGAAAAGTTGCTGTTGTGGCATTCTTTTACGTTCATCAGTCATCATTATGGTTTCTCAAAGAAAAGAAGGGTGCAGTGATATGCACAAGATTTGGCCAATTATCTCTATTGGTGCACTTTCTACAGTATTTACATACTGCATTGAAATTAACTGGACTTGGTGGCAAGTAAGATTAAAGTGATGGTTGAATACTTTTATGTAGGTCCTAAGTGTAGCAACATGATAAAATGATAAAATACTATCTGTGGCCATACGATTACATCAATGATGTTTTTCCTGTTTTCTTAAGATATTTGAAGAAAAGAAAATTCAATGATTGCCCATATCTCTTCCATTGTAAGACAGAAGATAAAGAATATAAAAAGATCTTGTCCTTCTTGTAAGATATAATGAACATGAAACCCTCTTTTGCCAGAGTAATTTCTGACGTTGTCAGTTCAAATGAAAATTTATAAAGAGAAAATATAGTTATCCTAGAATTTTAGTTTTTGTTTTTTTTATGGATTACCAACTTTAATGATGCTGTCTTGGTGACTTGAGTACCACACCTTTAAAACATGATAAATATTACGAGTGTTTGTCACAGTTTTCTTAGAAATGTAATTTATGTTAAAGTAGGAAATTCTGTTAAATTCATATTCTGCATTTACCATTTCATGTCAATATTTGGACAGGGACGTCAGTTTTCCAAAATAAATGAAATAAGTCTTATATTGGTTTGTATATACAAAGTAGCACCTAATGTTTGACCACTGTTAACTGTAGATATACATATGTGTCGTATTAGAGTGACTCCTCTTGCAGAAAAAGAAATAAAAATATTTTTACCGTAGGTTTTTTTCTCACTGTCGGAAGCCTAGTTCTGTGGCTACATCCCCTACCAGAAGCTATTAATGTTGTTATGACAATATCATTTAGGAAAATATCCAAGTGATGTCTAACTCAACAAAACTTGACAAAATTTGGCATGTTGCCAGATAAAGAAAAAAAAGTTCAAGGTACATGAAAATACACAATCCTTAAATACATATACTGGGTAGCTGTAAACAAGAAATATTTGACCTCACCATTAATATTACTGACAACCCTGAAAAATTGAAACATTTATCTTCTGTTTGGGATGGTTGGGGGCTGTGGAGAAAGAAGAAGTTGTTTATGTATCATGTAACAACTTCTGTCTGTTTACATCATATTGAAATGGACAAACTTGGCAAATAGCAAGGTTTTACACAGAAATTTGTCTTATTTGTTTTCTAGTAATGCTTAAAATGTAGGCATTTAATAATCCCTACAAATTTGCTTTAATACGATAAATATTTTAATATTGCGTCGAGCGGTTACGTATTTTGTAACATGAAAAGTTATCACTACGTAGAATAACTGTGGTTTTATTATTATATTGCGTAATGTTCATTTACAGATATGAGACTCAAAAATATAAGTTTAATCAAAACATATTAAACATATTTCAGCAGTGTTACTTATCAACACACTCTATTTGTAAAAGTAGGAATAATGAAAAACACCTTGCCCATGCTGGGGTTTGAACTAGAGACCAAAAGTGAAGAGAAAGCCGGACACTTTACCACTTGACTGAAGGGAAATTCCCAGTAATTGAGGCTTATGTTTGAAGGTCATTTGTACTTTCTCCTTTCACACTTTTATGCATTTTTGTTACGGCAAAAGAATCGTCCATCGCAATGTCAATTGAGTTTAGATATGATAAATATGAATATATTTGTACAACTTGCATAACTGCCTGTTAGTTTGCACTATAGTAATTACATAACTAATATACACAAATTATTCATTATGCAAAATATTGTACATTTTAAAGTGCAATAAGGCACTTGACATGCTCCAAAACAAGTTGACTATACACTCCCTATATAGTATTATTTAACTGGTGTAGTTTTTTTTTTTTTATTACTTGATCAAATCATTGGAGACTGTAGACAAGCATAGTTAGCATACCATATATACTTGATAGGAAATTATCAGTAGAACTGTTTTGGGTATAAAGCTTACATGGGTTTGAATAGGTTTAGTATATATATGGTAGCATTTATATATATTATACTTGTGATATTTCATAGCCTTTGCCTGTTGTAGTATTTTGAATAAAATATGTAATGACAAAAAAAGAAAAAAAAATTAAATAAAATTAAAAAAAAAGCTGAATCTGATTCTAAAATCTCAAATTTTACAAGGTTATACCGGTGGTTATATTGTCGTAATACAAAGAGTTTTCATTGTGTGGTTAATTCTGACACACTCAATGTCTACTTTGTTAGGCATTATAACCATGGCAGTTTTGTACAACTGAATATTTCCTACCTGCTTTATAGGATTTTGTTATCAGTATGATCGGTCTGACCTAGAACAGACTAACCTCTTGTAATGTTTACCTTTGACACATACCATTAAAGATTAATCATTTGAAGACAGTCATCTGTAAAGGTCCACTGTGTTTTAAAAAACAAACAGTGAATCATGATTCTAAAGGAAATAAAACTGTGTTTAAAATGAACATATTTCTACAACAGTTCACTACTAGAAATATCACAATGGAATTTATTTATGGCGGTAATATTGTTAAAATCGAATGGTGATATACAATATGTATGGATTTATAAAACCGTTGATTATAATAACACACATGGTAATGTTAGCTGGATGTAGCTAGGTAACAGTTGAATTTTGAATAGATTTAATGTTAATGTTATCATTTAAATATAGGTTTATTGGCAAATCAGTAATGAATTTCTGATGTGGATTGTGTGAACTACTCGGTGAACTGTACATTTGTATATTACCTGGACAGTCCAGCATGTAGCTGTTGTACATGTGTAAGTGATATCTTAGCACCATGGATGCTCAGCCTCCAGTCCAGTCCTGCCTTTGTTGTCCCTTGGTAGGACTACAGGTCCATTCCTGGGACTTGGTCCTGTCCTTCCGAGTCCCTGGCCTAGGACTGAGACACTGATATTTTGATGACTGTGGTATATCCCTCAGGAGGTGTCGCCACAAGGTGATTAGTGTAGTGCATGATCAGCTTAATAGTTAGAATGGGGAGACGTGCTGACATTTCCATATATCATATTACAGTTACTTTGGATGAAAAAACATGTCCCATGTCATCCATTGAACAGTACAATGTACATGTTCAGGTGATAGGCCACGGTTAAAATGTACCATAAATACTCTAATGATTCCATTTTGTCTGAGGTTTTATCCCATGTCTGAAGTTCTTGTAACTTACCTGGGTAGTCATAAAATGAATTGTTTGTCCCTTTATAACTCATTGAAAAGAAGAATTGTATTGATTGGATAAATTAAAAATGATTTGTCTGTGTTTTTTTTTTTTTTTTTTTAATTTTAAAAATAAAATGATATTGGACGAAAGGAAGACATTTTCTTTTTTGTTTTAGAGAGAAACACACCCATTTGTGATATTTAGAAACATAATAATTTTCTACTTAGGATATTTTATTTCATGGACAGATACTTATAGTATGACTATTTTATGTTGTGAACTAACTACATCACAATTGTTTTGCAAACAAAAAATCAAGAATAGTATTTGCATATATATGGTACTATTCAGGACATGTGATTGTAGTGCTACTAATCAATGATTTATATAATTCATTATTACTGGCATTCAGCACTGGAAAGTAAGTTGAATTTTGAATAGGATTTGTCAGTTTCATGCATTATGAATATTTATGGTAGAGACCATCCCAGAAGCACTTTCCCATTACATGACCTTGCCATTCAGACTAGGTAATAATTGTCCTTCTGGCCCAGACATATTCCCAAACTATAGAGTGCTGTATACTCAGACATGCCCTTGTCAAAGGGTAAAGCAGTCAGATTTAAATCATTACACAGTAATCAAGTAGTCAACACACAAATTATACATATATATGATTTAAATCAACATGTAGTGTATGTACAGCAATACAGCAATAATTATGGCCCAGTCATAATAGCATAAGACTAATTTTCCATGTTTATTTTGGCATGAGTGAGATATTGAAAAATGATTGTTTTTTCAAGTTGACAAGGATTTTTTATGCATGTACTTTTCTTTTGATTCAATGTGCATCAACTTGTCCTTGCATGCCTATCTTAAACACTTCATTTACTTACACCTGCCAAATTGTCATTGCAATTAAATGCCTTTAGTTTTGGAATGATAAGAGTGTTGTATTATAGCTTCCCCTCTTCTTTATTCAACTGAGTATAGAGTTATGGCCCCTGGTTCATTTTTGATACTTGGAATAAAAATTTCTGGAAAGACCAAATTACTTGGGAGTATGTCCTGATTTTAATAAGTTCAGTAATCTGTTATGATATTCTCCATTGCCCCATAGGCTAAAATTGAAATGTATAGAGATATGGGCAATAGTTGTAAATATTACTTAATTTATCATGCAGACATAACAGGAAAGGATCCTCTGCTGTGATTCTACTGATGGAGCTGTACGGAAATTCCGTCTAGCTGACAACCTGCCACAAAATAACTATTATCAGCTTAGGAGGATAAAACATTACTTATATTCATAGGTAGGGGATGGGCTTAGGATAGGACAATGAATTTAGCATTGATTGCCTTACGTTATAATTTTACCAAACAATGTATGGATGGGCTTATTATCAAGCATGGGCTTATCTGATGAAATATATGATACATTGTAAAACAGACACATCTGTTGTATCTATTTATGGTAACCACGTTTTTAACTTGACCAATTTAACCCAAACTTTTTTGTCATCCTTTTGGTAGAGACTTGCAGTGCCTGTGGGCAAAAAATTGTACAATTGCAAAGAAAATTTCGACTAAATTTTGTCAATTAAGTCAGTTTCAGCCCATTATTGGCCCAAAATGTCCCTGGAATAAACTCAGTCTCGTTAAACCATCAAATGATGGAATGTAATGTAGACTCTGTTTTATACACATGTTCTTGGATTTTAGATTTTAGTGCAATGAAAACTATCGGTACATTAGCTAGGCTAAGTGTTATTGCTGGACCGATTGAAGATGGAGTAGTTTTTACTGTAACAAGATGAATATTCCTTAAGCATATACCTGGAGTGGGATGCTGGAAATAAGATTCAGACCTGCTTGTAAACTTATCAGTCAATGTAAGTTCTATATCTTCTAATACTCAGCCATCAGAATTTTTATCCCCTGCGAGGCGCATTTGCCGCGGTTATTAATTTGGGCTCCACGCGAGCGTGTGTGCATCCGTCTATCTTAGGGCTTTTCCTGGCAACAACATTCCACTCAACTCCTCAAATCTTTCTGTATATATTAATTTAGTGCCCTAGTTGTGCCGTTTGCTATTGAAGACATTTCATTTTTAAAATTTTTTCTGTTACCATGTCAAAAACCAAAAAAATGGTGTTAACCTTGACTTTCGGGGCTACTTCGAAACTATTCCACTTAACTCCACAAAACTTTCTCTATATATTAGGTTAGTGCCCTTGTTTAATTATTCTTTAGTATCTTTTGCTATGGGGAAGTTTTCCATTAAAATACTTTCTCTGTTACCATGGAAACAGATAGGCCAAATAACAAAGTTAAGTTTTTCTGACCAGTTCTCTTCAACCATTCAAAGTAATGTCATACTTTGTGTTATCTTGTAGCCTTGGAAGATTAAAATGGTATAAGATTGCGATGCCTGCAAATTAATTATTATGTTGAAATTCAGGACTGAAATTATCTCAGTTAATGAGAACAAAGACAAGAGAACTGGTTTAGCCAGATGGAGCCCACATTGCTGGCCACAGATCTCAGCATTTGTTAATTTTGTCAAGCCAATACAGAATCAATAAAAATTTGCCTCAAAGTGCAAACTAAAATTGCAGACGACATCTTTTTTTTTAAGGAATAAAACATAATGAATATGATAGAGTCAAATAGCTACTTATTTCTGGATACCAAATTCCACATGACAACCAGCTTATTGCCTATAAACAAGTAAATCACCTTTTCTTCCCTTGCTGATTCTTGCGGTTTTATATGTTCACCATTATCCGCCATGTTGGCTGTATTTGTATGTAACATGATTATCTCCAACACAAAATATCTAACGTCACTTATTTAATGGAACAAGTCTTGTATATGTTTTATGACTGAGGGACAAAACTTATCTGTCTGCTAAAAACTTGCATATGTTTGGATCTCTTCATCATTTTCAATCACATTTAATGGTCTCTTGCAGTAATACTGTTGATATAAAGTCAAATTTTAGCATTGTATTGTATTACCAAAGCGTTAAATGATTTTCTTTCCAAGATTTAAATATTTATAAGGATATTGAAGATACCAAATGACTACCTGTATAAAGGTTAAGGATTAACCCAATATCATTTTGTCAAAAGGATCATTCAAAGATTAATTCTTTAGTAGTTCATTGATATTTACTACCGGTTTACAATCTCGAGCTCATTATTGAGTGATTGCAATTAACAAGTAAATTCCAACATGTGATTATAATCATAATCCAATCTCAAATTCAATGAAATCAGGGCAAAATATGAACATACAAAGGACTTACAAGGAGACTCCTGCTAAAAAAGTACAAGGTTAATAAGACCAGGTGTTCCAAAAGAGTAGGCGTTTTATGCTTAATTGATTACACTTGCCATGTAAATCTTGATTAATCCAAGTATGTAATGTCATGTTCTCAAATGAGAACAAGGTACATATATACAACTGCAGAATCAACTGACAAATTAAAGATCACGAAATGAATGTTAATATTATGGGCTACCCCTTTCCCCCAATATTCATGTAATGTATTATATGATAAACCAATAAAAAAAAATAAACAGAAGACTAACTTTAACTGAATCCCTTATGATACATTATGTTTCTTGTAAAGATGTAGTAAATATCATTACAGGTACTGAAATATTCAATCAATACAAAGGTATAACATACCCTGTCTCAGATTTAGTGCGGAAAGCAGCAGTACTGTCCACCAATAAGCCTTTGCCAGACTACGTGGCATCCTTGCTGGTGAGATGTTTTGTAATGAAGCTAGGTTTATCCTATTGTAACTGTTTATTGGGATAATTGATCTGAGATCAGACAGTTAAAAACAAAATTGTATTTAGAAGATGTTGAACAGATGTAACATATTGCTCTACAGCCTTTACATGTTCACTTGTCGGAGGAAAAGACCAACTAAATTAAATGCACCAAATGCAACACTGCAGTTGTGTGAATGCCCAACCCCATGATATCATACAACTGTATTTCTAAACATTTGCTCACCAGTAACACTATACAATACTAACCTAAAGACTGTGATGATGTCATCATATTGTTGTTAAAGAGACACAGATGGTAATTTGGCTGCTACAGTTAAATGATTTCCATGTTAGTAATTTTCTTTAAATCAGGTGATATCATATGCATTAGACTGTAACTATGAGTGCACAATATACATGTATAGGTTGCCTGAAAAGGTCTGTCATTTATATTGGCCATAAATGTTACAAGGGGATGGTATGTTCAGTGCTTCAACAGCCATTGCATGATCGTAACAAGTGACTGCTAAATAAAATTTCAGATATTTCCTCTTTTTCCAAACAACTTTTTTTTTGAAAAGTCTCAAAAATCCAGATTAAAGGTTTTAATTGCTTCAATGTTTCCCTTGATAATGGCATTTATTTGAGTTTTTGCCCTTGTGAGGAAAGTCTAATTAGATTTTGTACACCACCTGAGTATTTACTAATAATGGTATATCTTAATGATCAGAAAGCTTAAGGAGAGCAACTATCACAATTTAGTTTTATCCTGAGTAACAATGTTGACTTCAAATGAAATTATTGTTAGAATTTTCCAAGTTTTT